GAGTGGGAGAGGGAAGCCAAAGATTTCACTCAGAGAACCAAACAACCAAAACAAAGAAAAATACCCTGATCGCAACTAAACATACATTTCTCTCTCTACTCACGATCCGTGCTGATCTCTATTTCAAGGCCAGGTTCATTCCCATGCCCAATATTCCTTGTGGGTATGATAATTCTGTCGGATTACGTCATATTGCTTCCTCCAGGTCTCAACTCAGAACTCACCCAAAGAGAAAGGGCAGCAGGATTTACATTTCAGCACTGTATCCCATTGCTTCTTCTAGCACTCTGCCAACACCCTTAGCTACCTGAGTTTAACCCTATAGGGTATATCTACGCTACAGAGTTTTGTCGGAAAAGCGGCCATTTTTCTAACAAAACTTGAGTTACATCCACACTGCAATCACATTCTTCAGAAAGTAAATCGAAAGAACAGAGGGGTTTTTCCGGGGTTGATAATCCTCTTACTCCGAGGAAGAAGCCTCTTTCAGAAAAAGGTGTGTGTGGACGGGGAGGAGGAGGGTTTTTTGAAAGAAGAGGCCTCCAGGAAATAACACAGCTGCCCTGGTGGACACTCCATCCAAATTAATAGGACTTTATAGTTTCTGTGTCCTGGCTCCTCTTAAAGCTGCAGGCACCCTGGACAAGCCATGTGGCAGAAAGCTGGCCTGAGAACAGCACCCTGACCATGCAGCTGTTCCTGCCACAGGCCTTGCCACTCATGGCCCAGACTCAAGTCCCCCGCGACTCCACTGGCCCTTGAAGAGAGTAGCCCCAGGAGTCCCATGACCGACCCAGGGGGACCAAGAGGCAGGCACCCTCCTGGTCTGGAATGGAGATCCTGTCCCTCCGTGAGCTGTGGAGCGAGGAGGACACCTTGCAGGATCTCCACTTTAAGTGGCACAACGCTGAGATAGTCGAGTGCATCCCTGGAGGAGTGCGGACACTCACCCCAGACCTTTAAGTGGCACAACGCTGAGATATTCGAGTGCATCCCTGGAGAAGTGGGGACACTCACCCCAGACCTTGGAACAGGTCCAGAATAAGGTAAAGAAGCTCTGCCAGTGCTATGTCCGGGCCAGAGAGCGCAGCTCACGCTCAGGGGCAGGATGCCATTCTGCCCCTACTTCAATGAGCTGCAGCAGATCCTGAGGGGTGGGGAAATGTCTTCCCCACCTGTCATGGTGGACTCTGGCTTCCAGACCCCTGTCGTTGCCTGGACAGAGGTCATAGTGGAGGAGGAGCAGGAGGACCAGGGCTAGCTGAGAGGAGGAGGAGACAGACTGAGACTGTGACAGGATGTCTCCCAGGCCTTGTCGTTGGCCAGGAAGGAATCTTCGAGTGAGTGGTCACACATACGGGGGGGGAGATGGGCGCACAGAGGGTGAAGTACTCGTGTTGCTCGGGCTGGACATTGAGCTGCAGTCCGCACATGTGGAGCCACGTGCAGTATTAGTGTGTGGCACATGGACTCAACAGGCATCGCCTGAGCATGGGTGGGGTCCAGCTGCCAGGCTTAGGGGAGGCCACACAGGTCCTGCCACTGGGGGCAGAGACTGGAAGCAGGCTAGCCACAAGGGCACAGGCACGACCCCAGACACACCAAGGAGTGCCGCACACAGCACACGGGCATACCTGCATGTGCAAGGCACCACCCACTCCCGTTGGCAGCACTGCTAGCCACAGCTCTGTGTGCGGGCTCCAGGGAGGGCCAGGCTGCTCCCAGCTCCTCTGCCACCCATGAGGGGATCCCACTGTGGCCGGACATTTCCCTTGCCTGGCTGTCCGTGGGCCGGGGTGGGGGAGTTGGGAAGCAGGCAGCATGGTCCCCATGGCACCTTGGGGCCCTGTGAGGCAGGGCCTGCTGTGCAGGCCACACACGGCCTTGCTCCCAGGACATCCCCCTCCTCTTCCCCGTGGACTGTTGGTCACTGCTCTCGGAGGGCACAGCCTCAGGGACAGTGTCTGCATGGACGACTGACCGCCTCTCCCTCTGTGTGTTCTGCACAGCCGGAACTGAGGGGTGAGCCACATCACCAGAGCCAACCACCACAGCCCAGGGGACCCGAAGGCGCACCAGAGTCCAGGAAGACCTGATGCACCAGCATGTCAGCATCCTGCACGACATGCAGCAGACCCTGGTGCAGAAGGTCCACAAGGACTCCAAGTGGCAGAACCACACATGGGACCAGCTTATGCAACAGTGTGACAACATGTGTGCATCATGTGGTGCATGATGGCATAACTGCCTGCTGTGTCTGCTCCTGGCTTCCACCCCTTCTGCCCCTCCCCCCCCCACTATGCCCATTCTCGCTCTGCCTGCCCCCCAGGTGCTGCTCCTTCCCCCCTCCCCTCCTGCCTACCTCCAACTCTGACGAGGTCCCTGCACCCAAGATGGCACATCTAGCCACCCCCATTCTTCTCCAGGTTGTGAGCTCCTCTCCCCCTGCCCACCTTTTTTGATTGTAAGATAAATACACTTTGCTTGTTCACAACCAAACAGGTGTCTTTATTCTGAGGTCAGGGAAGGGGCAAAGGAAGGGCTTGGAGGGGGGGAAGGAATTGGGCTGCAAGGCAGAGGCCCCTGTGGAGAGTTACTGGGGTGCTTGAGAGAACCTCTCCCTCAGGGCCTCCCAGATGTGTACCCCAGCCTAATGGGCCTGTCGGATAGCAGCTGTCCTCAGCTGCTGGCAGGCTCACTCCTCATGGCTGGCATCTACCCCCCACCTTGGGAGGAAGGCCTCCCACTTCCTCTTCACAATGTTGTGGAGGATACAACATGCGCAGCCATCTCTGGGATGTTGTGCTCTCCCACTTCGAGGCAGGTAAGCAGACACCTGAACCACACCTTGAGGCAGCTGAAGGCTCATTCCACCTGGATCCAGCCCTGGTTCAGGCGGGCATTAAGTTGGTCCCTGCTGGGGTCCAGGTGTCCAGTATATGGCTTAATGAGCCATGGCATCGGGGTAGGCGTGTCCCCCATGATGCGCAATGGCATCTGCATGTCCCCAACCACAAAGTCACAGCGGGTGAAAAATGTGCCCACCACCAGCTTTCTATACAGGTTAGAGTTCCTAAAGACAGGGGCATCGTGTGCCCTGCCTGACCACCAGCCTAATGGGCCTGTCGGATAGCAGCTGTCCTCAGCTGCTGGCAGGCTCACTCCTCATGGCTGGCATCTACCCCCCACCTTGGGAGGAAGGCCTCCCACTTCCTCTTCACAATGTTGTGGAGGATACAACATGCGCAGCCATCTCTGGGATGTTGTGCTCTCCCACTTCGAGGCAGGTAAGCAGACACCTGAACCACACCTTGAGGCAGCTGAAGGCTCATTCCACCTGGATCCAGCCCTGGTTCAGGCGGGCATTAAGTTGGTCCCTGCTGGGGTCCAGGTGTCCAGTATATGGCTTAATTAGCCATGGCATCAGGGGTAGGCCGTGTCCCCCACGATGCGCAATGGCATCTGCATGTCCCCAACCACAAAGTCACAGCGGGTGAAAAATGTGCCCACCACCAGCTTTCTATACAGGTTAGAGTTCCTAAAGACAGGGGCATCGTGTGCCCTGCCTGACCACCCGACGAAAATGTTCATGAACTGTCCATAGTGGTCGAACAGCTCCTGCAGCACCATTGAAAAGTAACCCTTGTGGTTGATGTACTGGGCTGCTCCATGTTGAGGTGCGTGGACTGGGATGTGAGTTCCATCAATTGCTCCCCCGCAATTTGGGAACCTCAGGGCAGCAAATCCAGCCACGATCGGGTCCAGGTCTCCCAGGAAGATGATCCTCTGCAGCAGGATGGAGTTGATGGTCCTCACCACCTACAGAAGGAGACAAATAAAGACACAAAGCAGAGAATGAGAGAGGGAGTGCCTGAGCCCTTGGTTGGTGTTCACCCCTCTCTGCCTTCCCTCCTCTCCCCTCCATCAAACACCCCAGGAGCCACCCCCTAGAAGGCCGCACCCCAGCAGCAGGGCTGTGGTATGAAGAAAGGAAGGCACAACCCCCCCGGGGACAGGGCTTCCCCCACCCCCTGCAGCCCTCAACCCCCATTCGCTAGGCTCCCCCTTTCCAGGACCTTCAGCCCCAGAGTTCCTTACCTCCTTGAGGAGGGCCCCGACAGTGGACTTCCCCACACCAAACTGGTTGCCCGCCGACCGATAACTGTCTGGGGCGGCGAGCTTCCAGATGGCAATTGTGACCCGCTTCTCCAGGAGGATGGCGGGCTGCAGGTGGGTGTCGTGTCTTCAGACAGCGAGGGCGAGCCAGGCACACAGCTCCAAAAAGGTGCCACCCCCTGCAGCCCTCAACCCCCATTCGCTAGGCTCCCCCTTTCCAGGACCTTCAGCCCCAGAGTTCCTTACCTCCTTGAGGAGGGCCCCGACAGTGGACTTCCCCACACCAAACTGGTTGCCCGCCGACCGATAACTGTCTGGGGCGGCGAGCTTCCAGATGGCAATTGTGACCCGCTTCTCCAGGAGGATGGCGGGCTGCAGGTGGGTGTCGTGTCTTCAGACAGCGAGGGCGAGCCAGGCACACAGCTCCAAAAAGGTGGCCTTCCTCATGCACAAGTTTTGAAGCCACTGCTGTTCATCCCACCGCTCCATGACCAGCTGGTCCCACCAGTCCGAACTGGCGTCGAGCCTCCAGAAACGCCTCTCCACAGTGGGTTGCGGTTGCCAGAGTGTTGCTCCCGCACCCAAGGAGAGGGTCTCCAGAATGAGCTCGGGGTCAAGTTGATGAGGACCAGGAAGGCAGCTGGCACAAAGTGCTGCAAAAACTGCAGCATGGCTGTATGGGGCCATCACATGGGGCAGCTCCGGCTCCATAGCACCAAGAGAAAAGCTGTGGCATCCGAAAAAGCAAGGCAACCAGAGCAGGCACTGCAGAGCTTTGCTGTCCCTCGAAGAGGTAGCAAGCAGGCAGCAGAAGCAGAGAAATGGCTGTCCGGGGGGGTCCTTTGAGCAGGTCTCTCTACTTGGAAGCAATCGGTGACCTCAAGCCCCAGCTGAGGCGGTTCCAGGTGGCCTTTTATATGAGAGAGTGTCCAATCAGTCTGGACGCTCTTTCGAAAAAGCACCTTGCTTTCGATGCGCTTGTGTGTGGACCCGCTCTTGTGCAAGAAGTTTTTTCTGAAGATCTTTTCTGAAAGAAGCTTCTTCCAAAAGAAGCCTGCAGTCTAGACATAACCTAAGTCACCGAGTGCTGGCCAGCACTCCTCCTACCCACCACAGGCACAAATACTTCACTGTGAGAATGAATCACATTGGAACAAACTACCAAAGCAAGTGCTGGAGTCTCTATTTCTTGATGTTTTCTAATGTAGGCTAAAAGCCTTTCTGGTGTGTGCTTGGCTATTATGATATATAGGAGGGCTGGGATAGTCAGGAGCCAGATTTGATGGTCTTTTGGCCTTTAAAGACCAGTAATTAATGTGTGGTATAGGGAGCAGCTTCTGGGGTTTTACTCTGCAGCCAGCTTGATTCTCATACTCTGTTGTCATTAAGTGGGGTGGTCCAGGGGAAACCACTCCAACATTCAAGAGGCTGGTTAAGATCAGGCCACCAGCCTTTCAGGGGAGAGCTGGGTGTGGCATTGACATCACAAAGGCCTGTTGCAGGACCTGAGTCTGTTGGGGGACAGTGTGTGTGGGGGAGGTGGTGACCCCATAGAGAGACCCTGACATCAGGCAGACAGGGCAGTAGTGCAAGGCAGAGGCAACCTCAGAGACTTCTGTGGCTTTGCAGCAGCCAGGATCCTTCTCAGAGTCTTTCCGTGGGGACTCAGAGTGAAGTAGGATTAATGTATGTGAGCATGAGCATGAGAACCGTGTCAGAGTTCTCTCCTTCCCCACTGATTTTGTGGTCTGTGGTTAGAAGGTAAGAGCTTCAGGGAAGTTTGGAACCTGTTCAGTCTGATCCAGCTGGTACCAGCTGCAGTCTAGGCACAGAAATCACTAGGTTAAGATGATCTGATTTTCTACCGAAGACTTGTCCCATAGAATTGCTGCCAGAGGACATAACTTTATACGTCTGTATGTGACTCTCAGGATTTGTATACTTTCTTGTATTTTCATATACTGTCAACATTTGTGCAAAGTAAGGACACAAGATTTTGGTAAAAGAATGCCAACTTCCGATTTCATGTGATTGTCTGTTTTTATTGCAGAGGGCACAGGTTTTAAGACATACTAGGAGTGTACGCGCAGCGGTATTCTCTGGCTGACCTGTTCAGAAGTCAGTGCTGCTATCAACAGCAGTGTAGAAGGAAATGCAGCAAGGTATGGTATTGCAATGGGTCCTTCTGCACCACAGTTGGTGGCATAAGTGTCCAGAAAGCAAGTGCCACCAGCCAGGCAGTGCCACCACCCGCAGCAACACAAAAGGAAGGGTAGCTCTGGTATTGCCACTCTTCCTTCTCCACCATTGCTGGTGGTGGCTCTACCTTTCAAGCGGGGCAAAGTTGGTGCTGTCGCCGGTAGCATTGTAGAAAGGAGGGTGGCATGGTGTGATTATTTCTGTGCCACTGTTGGTGGCAGTGCTGAATTCCAAACTGGGAGGCCACAGAGCAGCAGCCTCTGGCCAGGCACCTAGCTGGGAAGGCAGCACTGTCACCACCAGCAGCATGTAAAGGGTGGCAGGTGATGCTATTGCTGTTCTTCCTTCTGCGCTGCTGCTGGTGGCAGCTCTGTCTTCCAATCTGGGCAGCTGGAAAGGTAGCGCCTCCACCAGCAGCATAGCGATAGAGATTTTGTTTCGGCTCCACCAGCAGCGGCAGTGAAGGAAGGGTGGCAAGGCATGGTACTGCTTCCCTGGTATGCCACTGCTGGTGGTGGCACGGCCTTCTAAGGGGGATGGCCAGGAATCTGTGGCAACTGGTCAGCCACCCAGCCTAGACAGCAAGACTGCCACCAGCAGCACAAAAGGAAGGCAGCATGATCGGATGCTGTTGCCCTTCCTTCAGTGCCACTGTTGGAGCAGCCCTGCTGTCCATGATCTCTCTTTCCATGACTCCAGGATCTCTCTCAAGTGGTTGTAGCTAAATTAGTCCCCATCATATGTAGGTATAGTTGGGATTATGTTTCCTAATGTGCATTACTTTACATTGATCAACACTGAATTTCACTTGCCATGTTGTTGCCCAATCACTTAGTTTGGTGTTCTTCTCAGTATGCTTTGATCTTAACCATACTGAGCAGCTTAGTATCATCTGCAAATGTTGCCACCTCACTGTTGACCCCTTTCTCCAGATCATTTATAAATATGTTGAATAGGACTGGTCCCAGGACAGACCCTTGGGGGACCCCACTCTCTCCATTTGGAAAACTTTTTATCCCTACCCTGTTTCCTGTCTTTTAACCAGTTCTCAATCCAAGAGGACCTATCCTCAACTCTCACGACAACTAACTTTACTTAAGAGCCTTTCTGGAAATCTAAGTACGCTATCTCCTGGAGGCATTTCCCTGAGGAAATGCAGAGCCTGCAGGGGTGGGGCACCAACAGGCTGAGAACAGCTTCCTCCCCGCCACTGCAGAGCTTGGCTGAGGAGTGAGATGCTTCCCCAGGCTAGTGCTGTGTGGGGCTTTGGTGCATGCAGAGCTTGGCTCCTTCTGAACAGCTCTCTGGGTCTTGAGCTTTCCCTGGGAGCCCAGCCAGAGGCAGTGGGGGAAGGAAGGTGCCTGCCAGACTGAGTGTTGATGAGCTAAATGATCTGACCAGGGGGTTGGTTCTCTGCACAGCACCAAGAGCAGGACACACTCTTGCAGGGGGAGGGGGAATATAGAGGAACAGCAGAGCTGTGAGGTGAGCGGGCACAGCAGGGAGAGGGGAAGCATGTAAAGGGCCAATGGGTGGGCAGCAGAGGGGAAACAACCAGCTGCCACCTCCCCACACTCACCAGATGCCACAGCAAGGAAGGGGCCTGCTGGCCAGGAGGCACATACCAGGGACAGCACTGATGGACCAGCAGGGGGAGCAGCTACCCCCGCATGCTGCAATTGTGCCCAATCACCAGCTTTACACTTCCAACCCCATCAGCTGCCATGGCACCTTCCCCCCCCCCCCCCCTGGGGGGAGCGGCAGGATGCACCAGCACTGATGGGAGGAGAGAGAAAATACAGGACAATTGGACCATTTTTTTAAAAGGAGGGATGTCTTCGGGAGGGCTTAAATATGTGACTGTCTCTTGTTCGCATCCCAATATTAGAGAAATTGACATCATAACAGAAAGTATCCAGGAGGTCAGCCTAAGCTAGGAGGAAGATTGACTGTGAGATGCATAAGATTATTGGAGTGACGACCCTGTGAGTGCTTTACTTCAAATATTGGCAAGTCCCTGCACCTTTGACTGGAAAATTTCCTCAGCAGTGCCTGAGTGGGCGAGCATGCATTGGTGACCCAATGTACTGTCTTTAAATATGCGACTGTCTTATCCAGGAATTTTAATTACATGGGAAGACACATGGAGGAGGGCGGAGGCAGTAGGAAGTTTTCTGAATGTTACAAGTAAAACAGAACATTTCTTAAATCAGGCTTGATGGCATCACCCTGAAGCAATTACTTCCAAAGCTACTCTACCAGTTCAGGAGATTCACAGTATTCCTGCTAGCCACAACATAGGTTTTGGGAGTCCTGAGGTCCTTCCTGAATCCCTACATGGTAACAATGTTGCGCCTACAGGTAGGTGCTCATTAGTCCTTGAACAATGGGCTGTGCCCACGAAAGCTCATGATACCATCTACATTTTGTTAGTCTATAAAGTGCTACCAGACATTTGTTGTTTTTTAAGTTTAAGGAATAAATTGTCATGTTACATTTGCAACCAGCCACTGTATTCAGGTTTCTCTACAAAGGGGAAAAGAAAAGCTACATTTCTCACATCTGTGTACTATGCACGCAGATAAGGACAAACAGCCTATAAAACACACTTTGTCTTCCAGGTTCATTAACAGATTAATCATATTTGCAATATTAGAAAATGTGCATTTCCAAAGGAGTTTTTAAAAATTGGTTTCAAGTACCATATAGATCTAGGGTTGCCAGGTGTCCGGTATTGACCCGGACAGTCCGGTATTTTCAGTTTTTTTCCCCTGCCAGGAGGCAAAAATACCAGACACCTGGCAACCCTAAGAAACACTCAGCAACTGGGCCCAGCCCTCTACCCACCCCCCCAGGCTCCCAGCCCCCCCTGGTTACCTGGTTCTGCAGGGAAGCTGTCTTCTGGCTCGACCAAGAAAAAAAGATGGCCACCAGAAAAATGCCTAAAACCCTAAAGCAAGGGGAAGCAATGCCTTCCCTGGGTCTTAGTGCTCAGCCTCTCCCCTCTTCCTATTCTGACTCTGCACGCACTTAAAGGGGCCATGCTGGTTTTTTTTTTTTTTTGCTCAACAACTTTGGTCTCCCCTTTTTCCCCCCCTCAACAGAATTTCCCCCCGTTTTTTTGGGGGGGGGGAAGAAGGGGGAAATTGGTATTTTTGGTTAAACCATCTGGCAACCCTATATAGATCATGATTCTTTGGGATAATTGACTTCATGTATCAATACTGTGCATGGTATGCACATCTTGGGCAAACCAGCTTGGAACTTTAACAATATCTACTTCTAGGAAGTATTTGACTAAAACGTCAAACATCTTAGGTCAAGGTATGCTTCTAGGTAGACCATCTACAAGTGGCCCCAGAATCCTGGAGTTTAAGGACTTCACACTAAGTATTTTCTGACAATGGGCAGGTTTCTACAGTAGTTTGGACTTCTCTTGGCAAACCAGAGAAGTATTGGCACAAAGACTGATGCACAGTGCTACTGATAACATTACATGTCTGAGGTTTCCACATCAGCACACATCAGCAAGTTTCACTACGTGCCTGCATACAGCACGGTGTTCAGGTGTACTCCATCCAACAATTACACAATTTTGTGTAGTTTTACTTAAGACTAGACTAACAGCAACAACATTGCAATCTCAAAGCCTTAAAAATCTTTCCAAAATGCTAAATATTTTCAGCCAAAATAACAACACAACAAGTTTTTTGGGGGTCTAAGATCAAATTACACAGATTAAACCTTCTCAATGTAAATATTAGCTACCATTAATATTTACTTTTATTCAGATTCTGTTCCTGAACTAAAACCATTCCTCTGGCTTGGCTAAGAGAGCTCAGCAGCTTGTATCTTCAATGAACGGTCTAGCTATGACATGCTCCCTTCCCTCTGTGCTATGTAGAGAACTCAAGGAGAAGCAATATGAATATCAATTTAAGACATTACTGATAATGCATATCCATTCATTCCAGTAATATTTCTAACTGCAAAATCAATTGTCATTTTTTCTAACCCGTTAAATCCAAAATATTTTAATTTGAAATAATCTTACTTTTCACTAAAAAAACTTGCAATTGTTTTGTATATCAACCAATTTTTAATGCAAATTAAATACTACCTCGCCTCATCTCCAGCACTTAGCATTATGTTACATATGTTGTTTCATTTGGCAGTGGCATACCTACTGCTATCACATTTTGGTGACATCACGACCTAGAGAAACAGAAAAGTAACTTTCAGTTTTAGAGTATTATACACAATGTTTTGATAATGACCACAGATATATTTAGTTTACAATTTGTTACTAGACAAACACAATCTTTGATAAAATAACACTATTTTACTAAGTTAACTCAGTTGTAAGAAAGATAATTTTTTGTTTTGTTTTATGGAAATTTCCTTCCCCTCAAAACAAAAGAACATTATTATTGAAGACATAACATAAAAATGGTTAAATTATTTTTATTCTTAGCTTTCTTTGGCTTAGCCACTTGAACTGTGCTACAGTATATCTGTTAGCAGTTTCATATGAAAACTGGCAAAGGGTGATTGGTGCACATGAATTAACATACAACATTCCAATCTTTTACAGTAAGCAGCTTTACAGATACACCTGAAGTCGCCATGAAGATATGAATGACTCAAGACAAGTGTCTGTCACAAATGTGCCACAAACATGAAAAACAAATACAATGAGACATTTGATAAAGTTATTTTAATGGAAAATGCAAAACCCCTTTCAATTCCAATGTACAAAGCGTGTGTAACACTTGCACTTTTAACAAATTAAAGCAAGCCAATGTTTTAAAAAAATACATCATTGAATGTATATATGTATATATTTACACGGCATATTAAGATTAATATTTAGCTTTAAAAGTTCACATAAATTTTACCAAAATGAGACAATCTTTTAAATAAATTACACCTTTTTAAAATGTTTAATTGTACACTGAATAGCTTCAATAAAATACTGCAGTGTCTGTATTTAATATCTACTTTATATATTTTATATTTTACAAAGTTTACAATTATTTGGCAGTAATTTTCAGATGATATGACTGCTGTGCGGATTCAGCAATGTCCCAAATGCAGGCAATAGCTGGTGTTTGTGTCCTACCTCACAGTAACTGTCTCAATGTAGTGAAAAATATCAGAGTTATTTTAGCAAACTGTACAAGTCACATTTACATTTCATCAACAATAGAGCATAGAATTGTGTTTTTTTTTTCAAAAAAATAAATACATCATCTTAAATCTTTGACATTTCATAAACTTCATATACATTATAATACAAGACAGCAGAATGCTGTTGAATTTTTTTAACAAGTAACATTTAATCACAATAGCTGTGATCTATGAAGCTATACTGTTGCAGTGTCAGTAACAAGTAAATACAATGACTATATTTTCTTGGCACTGATGGTTTGTGACGCTTAACTTAGTGTACATACTGTGCATCATATAATTGAAAAAATAGCCTCCATCTGATGGGCTAACATAAAAAAGCAGCAAGCACTTCAGTTTTCTTCCACATCCTCAATTTCATTTTCATGAATCTTCAAAGCTCTCACCATTTCCTTAACTGCATGATACAAAATATTTTTAACCTGAAAAAAATATTAGACACACTTCAGTAAGATACAAGTGATTTTCAAATGCCACTATTAATGCACGGTATCTAATTATGTTTAGGACTGAGCTCTAGGCTGAGTCCAAAAGGAAATCTTAATATTTTAACACATTGTGAAATACCAAACACAGTGATTCAACTCAAAGTCATTTACACCATCAATTGTCTCCTTCAGGTTAATGGGGATGAGAGAGGCATACTGATTGTTGTCATAATTCTGTGTGAATAGCTAGAAAAACACGGCACACAGTGTTCCATATTTCCATCAGACTCTGAGCTCACAGTCTGTGCCTTCAGAACAAGTTCCAGTTGAGAATTCATTTCTTACCTGCAGTTTATCATCATAATTAATTTCTTCTTTTGACAGTCTCAGTTCCTGTGTTAAGTGAAATGACTGCACAAGATGTTCTGGAGACACAAAGTCTTCAGTTACTTGAATGCAGCTGTGAAAATTTTGCACCTGTTCAAAAGGGAAAAAAAGACCAAATTAAAATCTGTATTATTTTTAATTCACAAAAAGAACAACGTAAAGTATAGGGCTCTAGATCTTTCAAATCACATAACTATCAGACTAGGGATCTAGTTCCTTTTTAATATACAGCAATTCAGTATATTAAATTGACATTTATTGACCATTTTGAGATTTCCTATATGTCGTCACGAGCCATGTGTCAAGTCTGCAGCAATAGGCTCCCCAATGCTGACACACACTATTTTCTGATACCCGCAGGGTTCAGACTCATGCTTTTGAGCTGTAATTTTACTGAAGGACACGAGTCATACTTCTCTTCCTTTCCCTGGCAGGCAAGCCATACACTTCCTCATTAATTCAACCTAGGAAATTCTTAAGAATCTCTGAACCTACTGACCAGTCTCAAATATTTCCCTCTCCCATCTAAGACAGGTCATTATCAATGCCCATGAGAAGCCCTGCACATCTTAACACAGTAGCCAGCAAAATCTAGCAACCAGATCTAAGCAATCATTAGGCCCTCATATTTAAAAAAGCTGAGCAGCCTAAAGTTCCTCTCTTTAGGGGACATTTCCGAAACAGGGATGAGCCAGGGAGAGCAAAAAGGTCTGTTACTGCTACTGATGCCTCAGACTGTAATCATGAATGGCCAAGTTTGGCAGATCATTTCCCCCCGAGATCCATAGAGTGAAGGGATATACATCCTACCACAGGGAAGCTGAGTCAGCGGACATCCAACCCTCAAAATTAGGAAGAGTAAGGAGAAAGCCTAAGATCCTAGATAGCAAGTTCCACATTCCAACTCCTGGCCATATACGTCTATTCTGACCTTAAAGAGAAAGTAGTCTTCTACCAAAGTCAGCCCCTGTGCAGCTCACCACTACATAGCTTCTAGCTCTTAGTAATACCTTTTTCCTGTATAATTAACAAGTCATCTGTGGAATGTCATATCCTCTGCAAGCATGTTACAGACACACAAAATGGGAAATGACAGCACAGGAAGGAGTACTAAAGAAACAGATCTGAGGGTTAGAGTGGATCAGAAGATAAATATGAGTAAACTGTTGCAGTGTTGCAACAAAAGCAAACAATCTGGATGTATCAGCAAAAATGTTAATATGACAAGTAGTAATTCTTTCACTCTACCTCATGCAGATTAGGCTTCAACTGGTGTCCAGTTATGGGCACCACATTTCAGGAAAGACTGGAGCAAGTCCAGGAAGAGCAACACAAGTTATTAAAAGTTTAGAGAACATGGCCTATGAGGAAAGATTGAAAAAACTGAGCTGTTTAGTCTGGTGAAGGGGAGACAGACAGGTCATGATAATAATTTTCAAGTACATAAAAGGCTGTTCCTAGGAAAAGGGAGAAAAATTGTTCTTCATCTTGGAGGACAGGACAAGAACCAATGGGCTTTCATTTCTGCATGAGCAGTTTAGGTTGGCCATTAGGAAAAAAAATCCTGTTAGGGTAGTTAAGCACTGGAATAAATCACTTCAGGGAGCCTGCGGAATCTCTACCACTGAGGAGTTTCAGGAGCAGGATAGAAAAACACCTGGCAAAGACAGCCGAAATAAAACATAGTCCTGCCATGAGCACAGAGGACTGGACTAGATGTGCCCTCCAGCAGTTTGTTAGATTATGTAATTACTTGCCCTACTATAAACCGGCAATTTAAGTCATGTATTTAATTTCTAACTGACATACTTCAATCACTGAGTCAAGTATTTTCCCCTTCTCTTTTAATGACAACTGGAAATGGTTACATCTTGGGGAAGCTGGTGAAACAGAACCACCTCAGCCAGTAGGAGGACACAAAAATCACCAGCATTCTGTCCTGATTTTCTTCCAGGCTTGTGTCAAAAGGGGAATTGGCGGGAACGTATACATCAGCAGCTCTGACCACTGAATTAGGAAAGTGTCCCTTCTCTAACAGTGCCCCCAAGCTGCTTGTCAACAGTAAGCTGTTTCTCATTGTCCTGGGATACGATGATATCAGGATAGGAAACCCCATTGTTGGAAGACATTTTGAACTACCAAGTCATGCAATTTTTCTAAGAACATAAGAATGGCCATACTAAGTCAGACCAAAGGTCCATCTAGCCCAGTATCCTGTCTGTTGGCAGTGGTCAATACCAGAGGCCCCAGAGGGAGGGAACACAATAGGTAACTCTCACATGATCCCTCCCCTGTCTCCCACTTCCAGAGAAACAGAGGCTAGGGACATCATTCTTACCCATCCTGGCTAATAGCCATCGATGGACCTAACCTCCATGAATGTAAAGAGTGTTTGTGTTCATGAAAATACTTGTATTTTATTTGACATCAGGAAGGAGGGTTAGGGAGGGGTAAGTGAAAGGATGCGAGGGAGGAATGAGGCACAAGCCCCCAGTGGGGCAGACAAGGGAGGCTCTTAGTGCTCCTTAGGGTGGAAGCTCTCCTGCAGGGCCTCCTGGATACTGACAGCCCCCTGATGGACTTCCCGGATGGCAGCCTGCAGAAAGTGCAGCCAGGCTCGCAGCAACGTGTCTACTAGAAGCATCAGAGTGCCCAGGGGCATCTCTGGCTCCATGCTGCAGAGTGCTGTGGTGTCCCTAGTGAGGGCAACCAGAGCACAGACACAAAATGCTTTGCTGTCCCTCATCGAGGTAGGCAAGTAAGCAGGGAAAGCTGAGAACCGGCTGTCCGGGGGGTCCCCTTTAAGCACAGGCCTCAGATAGCCTCAGGCAGCAGCCACACGAAGTAACTCCTGACCTGATGCCCTGCCAGACCTGTTTCTTGCCGGCCTTAAATGCGATTCAGCGTCCACTCAGTGAGGACGCGCTATTTCGAAATAGCAAAATGTTATTTTGAAATAACGCTGTAGTGTAGACATACCCTTAGTTTTGTGAGATCTTTTTGAAGTTCTTCACAGTTCTGCTTTGGTCTCAACTACCTCGAGCAGTTTAGTATCATCTGCTAACTTTGCCACCTCACTGTTAACCCCTTTCTCCAGATCATTTATGAATAAGTTGAATAGGATTGGTCCTAGGACTGACCCTTGGGGAATACCACTAGTTACCCCTCTCCATTCTGAAAATTTACCCTTTATTCCTACCCTTTGTTTTAACCAGTTCTCAATCCATGGAAGGATCTTTCTTTTTATCCCATAACAACTTACTTTACGTAGGAGCCTTTGGTGAGGGACCTTGTCAAAGGCTTTCTGGACATCTAAGTACACTATATCCACTAGATCCCCCTTGTCCACATGTTTGTTGACCCCTTCAAAGAACTCTAATAGATTAGTAAGACATGATTTCCCTTTGCACAGCAGGCCTCACAGGACGTGAAATCTGAGACCTTAGGCATGTTAAGAAACCCAAAGGTTGATGCAGTGGAGATGGAGGGAACCACAATCTAAAGAACAATCTATTTGTACAAAACAAAGCTGCTTTTTTTTTTTCTTTTTGAAGAAGGAATGCTAGAGAAACAGCAAATACTGAAGAGTTCCAAAAAGGAACTAGAAAGTTAAGTGTCTGCACCTCCCTTTTCATCCTTGTTTTGAAGCACAAGGCGGCACAGCCCAATGGATATTGACAGCAAGAATTTTCCTAACTCAGTGCATGGGGTTCCCACAGCT